TAAATCTTTAAAGAAAGAGATTGAGGAAGACATCAGAAGATGGAAGTACTTGGAGCTTTCTAACTTACAAGATATATTTTTTTCTATGTGTAAATAAGGTACCTTTCAAAGTAAGGTGTGTATCATAAAGCATGCACCATCCATATCTCTTAATGGGACTTGCAATCAGTTCTGTTTGTTTGTTCAATGTCTATGACTGTATATTAGAGCACATTTTTTTGATGGAAAACATCAGTAAAATAAATGAGCACATGCTTTATCAGAAAGGCAAGTAAGAAACACTTGTATTTGAAATAAGATTTTAAAAGTTATACCTTTGAATTTTTATTTATTCAGCTACACGTCAAGGTCTTAATGATACACAGTACTTACTAGTAAAGAAATACATAAAATACATTATCAAATTGTTGTTTAGCTTTAAATAAAAGCCTTAATTTGCATTTTAAGGGCATGGTTTGTTAGGGGCTGGAGAAAAGGCTCATGGTTAAGAACACTAACTGTTCTTGCAGAGGACTCAAATTTGGCTCCAAGCACCCACATGGTGGCTAACAACTGTCTCTAACTCCAGTCCTAGAGGATCTGATGCCCTCTTCTAGCCTCCACAGACATTACAAAACACTAGTGTGTTTAGATACATATAATCAAAACACTCATACACATAAAATAAAAACAAACAAAAAAAATTAAAGGCATGAGTTCTTGAAAACTATTTAGTGTTGATTTTGTTATGAGCAAAGATACAGTCACTATAAAAAGAGATGGAATTATTTTATTACAATATGAAAGGAAAGATTAAGTTTAAAACACTTTACAGCATGGCATCATTGAGAGAGAACTGGAAGTGAAATAAAAGAGGTTCTATTCAATCCTTGGAAATAAAAATTCACCAGCAGGACTAACCTACGGTGTCAGTGAACTCATTGGGTGGCATGGATACATATAGCTGCATTACAGGAACAGTTTGTATTTGCATTTTTAAATGTGGATATACCTCTGCTTGATGGTATGAAGAAGATACATTGAAGATCTGTATTTCATCTATTAAAATAATAATCAGCATGTTAGCTTATAGTATCACACCTTTGATAATTGTCAAAATAGCTTTAGAAACTGCACAACCAAATACATCTTGTGTTTCTGTATAAATGCTGTTATTAAACTTACCTGGGTAGTAATAACCTTGAATTCTAATGCCATCCTTTGTGACTGTTCCGTCACTATTGAACACAAATCTGTTACCTGAAGTAAACTAATATTTAAAACATTTTGTTAGTTCATATTCATTTCAGTGTACTATACAAAGCTGAATTTTTGTGCCATTAAAACATATTTATTCCTATAAGATTAATTTATAAACATTTGAAACATAGGATTTTTTTTTTCTTTTTGAGACAGGGTCTCCCTGTAGCCCCAGCTGTCGTGGAACTCACTATGTAGACCAGGCTGACCTTGAACTCACAGAGATCCGCCTGCCTCTGTTATTTTAGAGGGGAGATAGTGTCTCT